TCCTCCAGTCACATGATCCTTCAGAAATCATTCTAATATGCTGATTTGCTGCTCAACAAACATTTCTGATTATTATCAATGTTGAAAACAGTATTTTTGTGGAAACACAAATTGTTAGAAACGATATCTATTTCAAATAAATGCTGTTCTTGTTAACTTTCTATTCATCAAATAATGCTGAAAAATGTATTGCAGGTTCCAAAAAAATTAAGCAGCACAATTGTTTCCAGCACTGATAATAAATTAGCATATTCAAATGATTTCTGAAGATCATGTGCCACTGAAGACTGGAATAATGATGTCTTTATTCCAAACCTCATGCATTCAGTTTGAACCTAATGGCTCCTAATGGATTATACTTAAATAGATTATATTTCAAATTTACATTTGCATTTGAATACTGCATCAGTCTGTGTGTGTGTGTGTGTGTGTGTGTGTGTGAGTGTGTGTACAGGTATATATGGTTTATGAGGACACATACTTGTATTTGTGGTTTATGGGGACTCTCCATAGGCGTAATGGTTTTTCTACTGTACAGACCGTATATTCTATCTCCCTACACCAACCCTACCCCTAAACCTACCCCTTACAGGAAACTGCTGGCAATTTTTGAATTTCATAAAACACCGTTTTGTATGTTTTTTAAGCCTTTTGTTTTACGGGGACACAGGAAGTGTCCTCATAAACCATGTTTACGTTGTAGTACCCATGTCATTATACACATTTGTGTGTGTGTGTGTGTGTGTGTCTGTGTCTGTTCGGTCCGGTCTGGGTCTCTGGTCACACTGCAGCTGATCACTGGAGCCGAACACATGCAGCTGACGCTCAGGTCAACCTCACCAGAGATCATCACACTCGAGGAAACATCAGTGAAGATGCAGTCTTTATCTCAGCGCTGCTGTAACTGTGAGGGAGTGTCGCCATCTGCTGCTGGAGAGCACAAACACACACTTGGCCAGGGTTTAATGATTTGACTGGTTAGATAAAGCTAGATAATAGTACATTTGTGACATATCGTCAAATACCACAGATTGGAAATCTCACTCGTCCCAAAAGTCATGTGGACAGTAATACACTTAAAATGAAAGTAAATGGGCCAAGAGTGCTTGAAAGTTTAAAAGAAGAAATCCTCTGTTTGTATTTTTATTTGTGCACATTTTAAATGTATTTATTCATTTGTATTTTTCTTTTTTGGCACAAATTTGCACTTTTCCCCCCTTCTTTATTGTTATTAGAGCTGTAAAGTGGTTCTAAATCAGTGATTCCTGCTACTACTGCTGTAATGACAAAGCTGCTAATTCTCAAACTTTATTTACAGAAACTAGGAGTGGCAATATATTGAAATAAGTAAATAACATATGTAATAATTAAATTACAGAATTATAGAAAAATGTAATGTTCTTCAGGGTTAACTTTTTTATTTCTAATGGATTTACAGTAGCTAAAAAAAATATTTTTTAGTATTTTGTAATTAAAGTTTTAATGTTTTTTCTTAATTTTTTTAGAACTTAACATTAACACATTCATATAGAAATTTCCATGACTTTTTACAATGCTATTAATTTTCATTATGTTTTAAGATGTTAATTTCTATTACATTTCCTTTTAATTTGAGTTAAAATGTTATTAATTTTGGTGTATTTTTGTCTTTTTTTTTTCAAAATTAATACGTCTGTTTTTATTCATTTTTATTTTAGATTTAGTTTAGTTATT